ACTATAGCAACGCGTTTTCGTCGAACACAGGCAAAATTTAACCGATTTTACCCAAATTTTCGACAGCAAGTGCCTTGTCCATATGCATGCACCGCCTTGCTAAATTTCACTCGCATACATTACAATTACAGCAAGATTTCATTGGCTAAACAAGACCTTAGCCCGAGTGGTTGCCATGGACGCCAGATTTATGCAAATGCATAATTTGGAATTAACCAGAGAAGTAATAATCAACTGGATGTTTCTTGTAGAACGCATGCGCGAACTAAATTGCCATAACGAAACAGCCCTGCCCGAAGCTTACGAATATTGTAAGTCTCAATACTGCACGTGGCATCTCTATGACCATAAGGTAGGCCTCTCTACCCAGTGTAGTCAGCTGTAGTTATGAGAATCCAGGGAAAGAGTTGAGCGAAAAAATTATGTGCAGTGCCGCTGAATATATCTTTTTAGCTTCATTTTCACTCGCGGTCCGCCAAGAGAAAGTACTATTCGTATCCTACCCGCGAGCGAGGAGAGCGTGGGGCCCTCGTTCTAGCGTTTCTCGTGCGCAAGTTGGTGCCTTGAAGAGGAGAAAATAAAACGCTATGAATATTCCTGAGGAAATTTAACTTTCAAAATCCATCATGATGGAAAACAAATGTTTAAATACGACGAGAGCGCACAATAATTCATGCACCCAAAACGGCTAACCATCATCCCATCATGCAACACAAGTGTCGACACGTGATCATTCGACCTCATCGCCTGACTAAATCTATGGTTAACAACGCATAGCAGTCCAAAACAGTTTGATTCTACAATCTATAGTAACTATAAATCGTACTGAAAAACGACTTATCTTAACAATTATATCCACTTTATGTCCTTCGCTCCACGGAAGTCCGTGTTTAAATGTGTGCGTCTACTAGACAGAGGATAACTTTTTAGTAAGGTCAAGTCTTGAGCTAAATCCGCCATGATAATTGTGGCTTTAGTCCAAAATTGTGCAACATGGAAAGGGTTCTTGACAGGAGCACCAACAAAATTTGATATACTTGATAATTTGATTTGCTATATAAAATAAGATACTACGTGTAAGTCACGAAAAAAACCTTTTGACCTCTGTCTGAATATATTCGAATTCCTCGGACCTTAGTCACGAGATTGCAATATGCTTTTTTCCTGAATACAAGCAGGCAGCTTTCGCTTCATCCGATCCCGCATCTCTTTGGGCGGTGTTTTATGTTGTGTATTCAAGTTGTTGACTCGTTGCCATGACTCAAAGATTGTCTGTTTTCCGAATGACTCCAGACTCCAATTTGTAGAAGTGTGTAATTCATCACATTCCCTTTTGTTGCCAATTACTTGCACCAAACAGAACAGTGACATGCGGAGTATGTAGCCAACACATTGTAAGTTTTATTAGGAGATGTACCAAAGCATCAACTACTTGATCGTTGAAAAGACGCCTTTCTGTACATCCCGAGCAGAAAACAAAACTAATCGTAAACATTTCGTTTGAAATAGCTAAAGAATTCAGCCCCTTGATCCTGAAGGGGTGTGTGTGGGGGGGGGGGAAGGTATTTCTTAGAATGACTTAGGTGGGGAGGCTCCGCCTAATGAACGGACCTTTTCCAGGCATTAGATTCTTAAAAGAGCTACGAATTCTGTCGGTTGGATATCCGATGGTAGGTTTCAAGGGTGTTTTTTTTGTGTGGAAAGTGTACGAAAAGGAAACCTATTCTATAGTTGATAAAATGACGGGAATCTTTCCATCTAGAACTTCATAGAGCACCCCCTCTCCCGGTTTTAAACCTCCGAGAGCAGCTAGTCTCCAGCAGCATTGCATCCTAACCACTTTTTTTCCTCAAACATTTAACATTGTCAACCCAGCCAGACCCTGTGGAAGTTCTTATATAAAAGAAGAGAATACTTGTTACTAGTGTTTCACTTCAACAAAGGCGAGAGAGGTGAGTTATTTCTTTGTTTCATTTCTTCCTATTATTTGGACCACTTGTTTGTTGAGTCAATGCCGTCCAAAATGAGAAATTTCGTAGTAGCGCTAGAGAAGATCTCGGAGTGGAATTTACCTCTATGGAACGTTAACTTTGTTAATCACTCCTCCCCTCGCTGTTTGCCAAAATTTAGCTCAGTTGCTAATACTGCATCTTTACCAAATTTCTTTCTAACGCTAATACACTGTCGTTTCAGCCTTTCACTGGGAAAGCCGTTGAAAACAAGAGGGGAAGTTCACTTCGATTAAGACAAGAAAAGGTGAGATATCTCTGCGTTTTAGTAGGACCCCGAACAAATTATCATGTTTGTCGGATAATACTATAAAAAATACTGTCAGAAATTAAAAGCATTTGAGAGAGGAACAAATCAACGGTACGCTTAAAAGAGGCGGAAGTAGCTCGAACAAGAACTCAATAGGCCTTTTGCAGGAGTTGATCATTTGACCGATTTCTCCTTAGCAATGCCATGCTAGCTGGCAAGCCATTCTCTGTGTCGCTTGACAACCAGCTATTATCTTTGTATTGAAGCGTGTCTCTTATTTTTGTTGAAAGTGCTCTAACAGTTAATCCTAATCCATCTCTTCGTCAACTGGAAAATATTTATTGCCAAAGCTTACCATACAGTGAATTTTGTGAGATTTTCGATGGAACTAAGAGAGTTTTGACAAAGTTTTGACTTCACAAAGTGAGCGCCATCAAGACAAATGTGGCGGGATCAAAAATGGGTAACTATTGCAAGTTTTTGCCGTAATCTGTTACCTTTTCTTGGAACATTTTCGGAAGAATAGTAAAAAGTTTAAAGCAATCCTTGTCTTAGCGGATAATGAGACTCAAGATTTGTCTTTGATTCCAAATTTGACGTTCAAGGACGTCTAGACTTACGCCAAACTCAAGTCTGGATGTCCAAACACAATGAAAGCGTACAGATTTTTCGCAGAACCTGGCTATCTACACGAAATAAAAGGTATTTACTTCCGACAGAAATATATAGTATGAAAACTTTATATTTTCTAATTTTACATTACGAAGTGACCGTAACACTTCTTGAGGGAACAATTTGTTAAATTCTTAACTGCTCGTGATGCATGATTCTGATAAATGTATATTTTCTTTCTTTCAGTTAGTTACACGACTGACTATGTTGCTATAACAGCCAAATGCTTTCGATCAATGAAAAAAACCGAGTCCCCGCATAATATCTCAGCAAATATTGAGTTGAAAGAGAAATCATTGAGCGGGAAATGCAGTTGTGTTGCTGGAATAGATGGATATTGCCACCACATCATTGCTTTGTTTTTCTACCTGGCACACTGTAAACAACTTGGTCTTAGATCTCTGCCTGATGACTTGACTTGTACTAGTATGAAGCAACGATGGAGCGTTCCAAGAGGGAAAAAGATCGAACAAAAGCAAATTCAAGACATCCTAGTCAAGAAACCTCAAATGGGTGCAAATTATTCGAAATTTATCAAATCAACTCTATATTCACCATCTAAGTACTATGGACTGCTTCATTCAACTTCCTTTGAAAAACTATCTCCTGTGCCTATTATAGCTAGTATTCTTCCCCATCAAGATAATCTCGCTAACTTAGAAACTGTGGCTACAAAATTTGGTAGTGCA